ATATATATATATATATATATATATATATATATATATATATATATATATATATATATATATATATATATATATATATATATATATATATATATATATATATATATATATATATATATATATATATATATATATATATATATATATATATATATATATATATATATATATATATATATATATATATATATATATATATATATATATATGATACTAAAACATGGCAAAAACATGCAAATTAGAAGGAAAAAAACTTTATTAGGTTAGGAAAAACGTGCAAACAAGGGGGGGACATGCAAATTAGGGAAAACCTGCAAATTGGTGCATATTTTAATAGCATAAAACAGGCAAATTAGGGGAGAAAACATGCAAATTAGGGAAAACGTGCAAATTGGTGCATATTTTAATAGCATAAAACTTGCAAATTAGGGGAGAAAACATGCAAATTAGGGAAAAAAACTAATTGGTGCATATTTTAATAGCATAAAACTTGCAAATTAGGGGAAAAACATGCAAATTAGGGAAAAAAACTAATTGGTGCATATTTTAATAGCATAAAACTTGCAAATTAGGGGAGAAAACATGCTAATTGGTGAAAACGTGGAAATTGGTGCATATTTTAATAGCATAAAACGTGCAAATTAGTGCATATTTTAATAGCATAAAACTTGGCACATTAGAAGAGAAAACATGCAAATTAGGGAAAACGTGCAAATTGGTGCCTATTTTAATAGCATAAAACGTGCAGATTAGGGGAGAAAACATGCAAATTAGGGGAAAAAACTAATTGGTGCATATTTTAAAAGCATAAAACGTGCAAATTGGTGCATATTTTAATAGCATAAAACTTGCAAATTAGGGGAGAAAACATGCTAATTGGTAAAAACGTGGAAATTGGTGCATATTTTAATAGCATAAAACGTGCATATTAGTGCATTTTTTAATAGCATAAAACTTGCAAATTAGGGGAGAAAACATGCAAATTAGGGAAAACGTGCAAATTGGTGCATATTTTAATAGCATAAAACTTGCAAATTAGGAGAGAAAACATGCTAATTGGTGAAAACGTGCAAATTGGTGCATATTTTAATAGCATGAAACGTGCAAATTAGTGCATATTTTAATAGCATAAAACTTGCACATTAGATGAGAAAACATGCAAATTAGGGAAAACGTGCAAATTGGTGCCTATTTTAATAGCATAAAACGTGCAAATTAGGGGAGAAAACATGCAAATTAGGGGAAAAAACTAATTGGTGCATATTTTAATAGCATAAAACTTGCAAATTAGGGGAGAAAACATGCAAATTAGGGAAAACTTGCAAATTGGTGCATATTTTAAAAGAATAAAACGTGCAAATTAGGAGAGAAAACATGCTAATTGGTGAAAACGTGCAAATTGGTGCATATTTTAAAAGTATAAAACGTGCAAATTGGTGCATATTTTAATAGCATAAAACATGCAATCTAGGAGGAAAACGTGCAAATTAGGGGGGGATGTGCAAATTAGGAAAAAATGTGCAAATTGGTGCATATGTTAATAGCATAAAACATGCAATCTAGGAGGAAAACGTGCAAATTAGGGGGGGATGTGCAAATTAGGAAAAAATGTGCAAATTGGTGCATATGTTAATAGCATAAAACATGCAATCTAGGAGGAAAACGTGCAAATTAGGGGGGGGGATGTGCAAATTAGGAAAAAATGTGCAAATTGGTGCATATGTTAATAGCATAAAGCATGCAATCTAGGTGGAAAACGTGCAAATTAGGTGGGGGGGGCATGCAAATTAGTGCACATTTTAATAGCATAATTTTCTTATTTAAACCAAAGATTTACTTTAGGTTAGCATAAACAGCAGCGGCTGGACTGACCTGTGTGGAGCGTCTGGATTGACGAGCATGTCTGGATCGAGCTTTTCTCTGAGCTTCAGCCTCCTCATCACGCACAGGAGTCAGATATGACCTACACACAAACATACACACTCCAGCTTCAGGCAGTGAAAACAATCCGTTTTATTTTTTATTTTTTGCTGAAATTAGTCAAAAATTGTCTAAATGGGACTTCCAGCTGCTGGATCTGAGCTTATCCTGGTTTAACATTTTGGTAAAGCTAGTTAGAGCTGGTAGATCAGCTCTGAGCAGCAAATAAACAGCAATAATATTCAGAAACAAGGTCAGACCAATTTTAAAGTCAACATTAAATGAAATGTGCAACCCATTATATATATAATGGGTTGCACATATTTTTTTGCCCACCATATTTTACACAATGCTAACACTTCTTAACATGTTTTAAGATGTAGCATATATTACGTTAGCATGATTTCCAGCATGATTTAACACAAGGCTATCATGTTTCTAAGGGATTTAACTCAATGCTAACATGTTTTTAGCATGATTTAACACAACATTAGTATGTTTTTACCATGATTTATAACAAGGCTATCATGTGTCTAACTGATTTAACTCAATGCTATCATGTTTCAACTCAATGCTATCATGTTTCATCACAATGCTAGCATGTTTTCTAGCATGTTTTAACACAATACTAGCAAAACTACCACGATTGAACACAATGCTTATTGTAGCATGATTTAGCAATACTAGCATGTTTCTAGCATGATTTAACACAATGCTTGCAGGTTTTCTAACATAATTTAATACAACGTTAGCATGTTTTCTAGCATGATTTAACACAATACTAACATGTTTCTAGCATAATTCAAAAACAATGCTAACATGTTTTAAAACACTGCTAGCATGTTTTGGTATGATTCAAGAAATGCATGTTTCCAGCATGATTTGGCTCAATGCTAGCATGTTTTAAGAGGTTGTTATCATGTTTGTCATGTGAATTGCTAATATACTGTATATTGCGCAACATCAATAGCCTTCTAGCTTTAATAGGCAAATAATGTGTTCATAATCTTTTAGCAACTTGATAATCACGTTTCTAACGTGATTTAAAATTGTTTGTAATATCTCAGTTCACATATCCATGATTTAACACACTGCTAACATGTTTTAACAAAGCTAACAAAGCTCTAGCATAATTTAATGCCCTGCCGTGTAGATATTTTTCAAACATTTCAGACTGTTAGTATTCTAAAACGTGTCAGCCCACCATATTTTACACACTGCTAACACTTCTTAACATGTTTTAAGATGTAGCATGTTTAAAATGTAATTTGACATTATGTTAGCATTATTTAACACTAGCCTATTTCTAACGTGAAATAACACAACGCTAGCTATCTTAGCACGTTACTAAAGTGTCTAACTTTACCTAACACTATGCTAGCTTATTGCTAACATGTTGCTAACCTATTTTAATATGTGGCCATTATTATTGTTGTAAGGTTTTAATGTAGAAAAGCATTCACAGATTAATCGTTCACGTTGTGTTTAAGAAAGTGAATAGGTTAGAAGCTATTTCACATTGACTCCAGGCTAGCATGGCTTATTTTATTAGCGCTCTGTTTCTTGTAAATCAACACACACTCACTTGCGTCTCTGCTTGGTCTCCGACTCTCCTGTCGTAGTGGTTGTTGTTGTTACAGAATTGGACACTGGATCCTTCTTTTCGGCCTCTTCCTGAGCCGACCTGTAAAGAAAAAAGCAGACTGTGTAAATGCAAATGACTCAACTATCACGCTAACAAAAAACACAATCAATTAGTCAATAACGCACCTCTGAGCCACTAGATTATTGAGGCGACTTAATCCGGAGGTTGCGCTGTTTACAGAGGTCACTGAAGACTCGTCAAGTTTCCGCCCATAGGATGAGCTACGAGGTAATGAGGGATTCGACGCGTCGCTAGCGGATTGGGTGTTCAGGCGGCGTGTATATGAAGAGCTACGACTCAACAAGCTACACACAAACACACAGACGATGATGATGAGCTTGGAAAATTTTCAAAACAGGAAGTGAAGTTTGCGTGTTTCCTGTGTCACTCACCTGCTGGTGTTGTCGGAGTTGGTGCTGTTGTCGCTAATGCTAAAAAGACGTCTGGATGGAGTTGGCTGAACACGTGCTAACCTGGGCTCCTGAGGACAGGAAGTGACATCATTTACATTGTGATGCTCTTTTTTTCAACACTTTGCTATGTTTTGATAAATTGGTTTACTTTATACGTAGCATATTTTAAGTGTTAAAATGTGATAGCATGGTTGCTAACTTGTTTCTAAGATGATTTAGCACAATGCATCCAAAATTGATCATGTTGCTAACATGATTCTTGATAGCATGTTTCTTGCATCTTCTAAAGAAACTAGCAAGTTTCTATAATTATGTTACACTGTTAACATTTTAACACTGCTAACCTATGTTTAAACACATTGCTAGCATGTTTCTAGCATGATTGAAATCAATGCTAGCAAACTGTATCAGGATGCTGACATGTTTCTAAAAAGATTTAGCACAATGCATGCAAATATTTCAGGTTGCTAGCATGTTTCTAACATTTTTAGCACAATGCTAACTTATATTATGAGGCTGCTAGCATGTTTATACAATGATTTAGCATACTGTTAACATTTTAACACTGCTAACATATGTTTGAACACATTGCTAGCATGTTTCTAGCATGATTGAACTCAATTGTAGCAAATGTTATCAGGATGCTAACATGTTTCTAAATGATTTAGCACAATGTTAGCAAATTTATTCAGGTTGTTAACATGTTTCTAACATTTTTAGCACAATGCTAACCTATTTTATGAGGTTGCTAGTATGTTTATACAATAATGTAGCATACTGTTAACATTTTAACACTGCTAACATACTTATGTTTGAACACATTGCTAGCATGACTGAACTCAATTATAGCAAATGTTATCAGGATGCTAACATGTTTCTAAATGATTTAGCAAAATGCTAAGAGATTTATTCAGGTTGTTAACATGTTTCTAACATTTCTAGCACAATGCTAACCTATTTTCTGAGGTTGCTAGTATGTTTATACAATGATGTAACATAATGTTAACAATTTAACACTGCTAACATAATTTCCATAATTGAACACAGTGCTAGCATGTTTCTAGCATGGTTGAATTCAATGCAAGCAAATGTTATCAGGATGCTAACATGTTTCTAAATGATTTAGCACAATGCTAGCAAATGCATTCATGTTATTAACATGTTTCTAACATATCTTAGCACAATGCCAGCCTGTTTTGTCTTGTTGCTAGCATGTTTAAACAATGATGTACCATACTGTTAACATTTTACCACTGCTAACATAATTACCACGTCTGAGCACATTGCTAGTTTCTAGCATTATTCAATTCAATAATAGCACATTGCTTGTCTTATTAACCTTGATTTAACACAATGCTAATGTTTTAACAAGCTGTTAGCATGTTTCTGGTAAGAATAAACACAATGTTATGCTGTTATCATGCTTCAACAATAATTTAATACACTTCTGACATGTTCTAACATGATTTTAGACACTGCCAGAAGGTTTTAGCACATAGCTAGCATGGCTATAGCATGACTCAATAACATGTTTTAACTGGTAGCTGTATTTAGTAACCTTGATTTAACACAAAGCTAACATGCTTTAACAAGTTGTTAGCATGTTTCTGGTAAGAAGAAACAAAATGTTATGTTGTTATCAAGCTTCAACAATAATTTAATACACTACTAACATGTTTTAAAATGATTTGAGACTGCCAGAATGTTTTAGCGCATTGCTAGCAAGGCTGTAGCATGGTTTTACTCATACTGTTTGAGAGTATATGGCTGCATGCTATACCTTATTGTCAGCTTCAGAGCTCAGTCTGGGACTGGATGCAGAGCGTGTCATGCCCAGTTTGGTCTCGGGGTCCTTCAGGGCCTCACTGGCTGCATCAGAGGCCCCTGTGGAGCCCAGAGTCACCGAACTTCCAGCTTTGCGCAGAGACGTTCTCCAGGAGCCTGGAGCCTCAGTCACCGGGGTCCGACCCGCTTCAGTCTGAACACACATATATATTATATTATATTATATTATATTATATTATATTATATTATATTATATTATATTATATTATATTATATTAAAATATATTATTTTATATTATTTTATATTATATTACATTATTTTATATTATATTTATATTTTATTTTATTATATTATATAATATTTTATTATATTATATTATATTATATTATATTATATTATATTATATTATATTATTTTATATAATATTTTATTATATTATATTATATTATTTTATATTATATTTTATTATATTATACTATTTTATATTTTATTATATTATATTATTTTATATTATATTATATTATATTATATTATATTATATTTTATTTTATTATATTATATTATATTATATTATATTATATTATATTATATTTTATTATATTATATTATATTATATTATATTCTATTCTATTCTATTCTATTCTATTCTATTATATTATATTATATTAACAACCTCAATTTTACTAAAATAAAACAACTTTTATATACATTTGCTTTTTTAATTTGATGAATAATAGTACTATACATTGTATGAAACCCTCAAAATCGTACCAAATATTTAGTTTTGAACACACTCTAAACTATATGTTAAAACTGTCAACATTTCATAAAACTGGATGCTTGAAAGTAGTTATTTGTTCACCTTTTTAACCTGGTTTGGACCGCTGCTGGTCACAGAGCTTGTTACTGGTGCTGCGTTTCGCTTGTTGTTCAAGTTGTTGATCATTTCTCGAGTTTTGGCTTTTTCTGACAACACAAACATCATCAGTTAGTTAGTTACTGCCGTTTTTGATTGACAGACTAAAAATGGATGGGGTCTGGTCACCTGACTCTGCGTCACTCTCTGATTCGCTCTCTTCCTCTGAGCTGGAGCTGCTGGAGGGCTTTGATTGGCTGGCTGTGCGTGTCGACTCGTCCTCATCCTCCTCTGTGGGCAGAGTCTGAAGAGTGGGCGGAGCATGTTTCTCTCGCCCATGCAGAGTGATCTTCTCTCGACTGCTCATACGCGAGATCGAAGTCCTGCGGGTCACATGCACATCAGCCAATCAGTGAGAAGAAAATTAAAATCAATATGGGCGCGGTTTAAAATAATTACTAAGCAAAGCTATATTGACATTATTAAAACAAAAACGAACAAAAATGATTGCAGCTGAATTTAAACTAAGTAAAAGAATCAGAATGTACAATTTATAATTTTGGAGTTCCACAGAGATCAATTCTCAATTCTTTTTTTTTTTTTTTTATGTAAAAATATTAATCTGATGCATTTTACAGCACTTTAATTCAGTTGACGTTTTCATCCCCAAAATAACAAAAGGGTAGTAAATTTGCCCAGAGTATATTGTTGAGTTTTTTTTTAATTCGAACATTTTTAAAATAACATGTCACCAAAAATCATTCCACTAGCTGAAACACATAAAAAGTTATGGCCAATTTAAGACTCAAAAATCACCCCAGTGTGGATAAAAACATCCACAACAGCACATAAGGGTTAAAATGACCAAAACAGCTAATCGAAATCCAATTTTATTTCTGTTTAACTTATAATAACTATGAAAATTATAAAAACTGCAATCTAATAAAATGGTAAAAAAGGTTTTAAAAGTTTCTTATTAAAGCTATAAAAGTATTATAATTGAAATATGTTTAATATTATTAACATATTGTAAAAAAAGAAAAAAAAATTAATTTAAGCCAAAATTATTAAAAATATTTTTTTAAATATTTAAAAAGACTAAACAAATTAAAAAATATATATTATTGTAAAAAGTTTAATAATAATAAAAGTTACTGTAATTAATTATATAAATTTATACATTTATTAAATTTTTCTCTCGCTTTCAATCACTCAAAATGAAGGATTGAAACACTCTGATTGGACGTTGTGTGTGTGATGTCACCTGCGAGGTCGAGCTGGTGCCATAGAAACAGGTGGGCTGGTCTCGATGACGGGCGTCTGGATCTTCTGTTTCTCAGAACGCATCTGAGTCAAAAACATCAACAACAGCTCTTAATAATTCATCAGCAACACAATTCATGCATTAAAAAGAAGCGACTAAAAAGTATAACACACTTTGAGTATGTACGCTTTATAATTAATGCAGATATTGGGTTTGATATCAAAAACTCTATTCTAACCTCTCATTTAAATACCTCTGCTTTCATCCTCTCATATCATCCTTTCTTTGAAATATACTCCAAAATGTTGACATTCTTACAGCACTGCTCATTTTCTTAGATTAAAAGCAGGCTTTGAACATTAAGCAGAGCAGTGATAAGATAGTGAACGCATAAACACACAAACTTACAGCGTTCTGCTTCTTCTGCAGCTCCTCCAAGTTATCAATGATGTTCTCGTCCGCCACGTCCAGTGGAGTTTGGCCCTTCGACAGATAAACATTACATTATACACTGAAAACTGTCCTATTTAACTAGTTCTAGGTCTTATTTAACTATTTCTATACCTTATTAAGCTAGTTCTAGGTCTTATTTAACTAGTTATATTCCTCATTTATTTAGTTCTAGGCCCTATTTAACTAGTTCTATGTTTTACTTAACTGGTTCTAGGTCTTATTTAACTAGCTCTATGTCTTATTTTACTAGTTCAATGTCTTATTTAACTAGTTCTAGGTCTTATTTAACTAGTTCAAGGTCTTATTTAATTAGTTCTAAGCCTTATTTAACAAGTTCTCTGTCTTATTTAACTAGTTCTAGGTCTTATTTAACTAGTTCTAGGTGTTATTTAATTAGTTCTATGTCTTATTTAACTAGTTAGATGCCTTATTTAACTAGTTCTAGGCCTTATTTAACTAGTTCCATGTCTTATTTAACTAGTTCTAGGTCTTATTTAATTTGTTTTAGGCCTTATTTAACTAGTTCCCTGTCGTATTTAACTAGTTCTAGGTCTTATTTAACTAGTTCTATGTCTTATTTATTAGTTCTAGGTCTTATTTAACTGGTTCTAGGTCTTATTTAACTAGTTCTAGGTCTTATTCAACTAGTTAGATGCCTTATTTAACTAGTTCCCTGTCTTATTTAATTAGTTCTAAGCCTTATTTAACTAGTTCTAGGCCTTATTTAACTAGTTCCATGTCTTATTTAACTAGTTCTAGGTCTTATTTAATTTGTTTTAGGCCTTATTTAACTAGTTCCCTGTCGTATTTAACTAGTTCTAGGTCTTATTTAACTAGTTCTATGTCTTATTTATTAGTTCTAGGTCTTATTTAACTGGTTCTAGGTCTTATTTAACTAGTTCTAGGTCTTATTCAACTAGTTAGATGCCTTATTTAACTAGTTCCCTGTCTTATTTAACTAGTTCTATGCCTTATTTAACTAGTTCTAGGTCTTATTTAACTAGTTCTAGGTCTTATTTAACTAGTTCCCTGTCTTATTTAACTAGTTCTAGGTCTTATTTAACTAGTTAGATGCCTTATTTAACTAGTTCTAGGTCTTATTTAACTAGTTAGATGCCTTATTTAACTAGTTCTAGGCCTTATTTAACTAGTTCCATGTCTTATTTAACTAGTTCTAGGTCTTATTTAATTTGTTTTAGGCCTTATTTAACTAGTTCCCTGTCTTATTTAACTAGTTCTAGGTCTTATTTAACTAGTTCTATGTCTTATTTATTAGTTATAGATCTTATTTAACTGGTTCTAGGTCTTATTTAACTAGTTCTTGGTCTTATTCAACTAGTTAGATGCCTTATTTAACTAGTTCCCTGTCTTATTTAACTAGTTCTATGTCTTATTTAATTAGCTATAGGTCTTATTTAACTGGTTCTAGGTCTTATTCAACTAGTTAGATGCCTTATTTAACTAGTTCCCTGTCTTATTTAACTAGTTCTCTGTCTTATTTAACTAGTTCTAGGTCTTATTTAACTAGTTCTAGGTCTTATTTAACTAGTTCTATGTCTTATTTAACTAGTTAGATGCCTTATTTAACTAGTTCTAGGCCTTATTTAACTAGTTCCATGTCTTATTTAACTAGTTCTAGGTCTTATTTAATTTGTTTTAGGCCTTATTTAACTAGTACCCTGTCTTATTTAACTAGTTCTAGGTCTTATTTAACTAGTTCTATGTCTTATTTAACTGGTTCTAGGTCTTATTTAACTAGTTCTAGGTCTTATTTAACTAGTTCTAGGTCTTATTTAACTAGTTCTAGGCCTTATTTAACTAGTTCTAGGTCTTATTTAACTAGTTCTAGGTCTTATTTAACTAGGTCTAGGTCTCATTTTACAAACTGTAAATACTACAAGACCAGCAGGTTGTGCTAAAACAGTAGAAAAGCAAGAATGCAATCTTTCAGTGGTAAATGAACTGAATTGGCTAAAAAAAAAAGTAGGTTATCCATTTATTCATCAATCTAAAACTTCTTCCAACTTTCTGGTTCAGTTTTTCAGGGCAACATCCAAGCAAAGTTTATCTTCACAAACTTTATAAAGCCTGTTCAAACTAATAGCTACTGCAGAAATATATAATGCTTAGCCATGTTAGCATCCACACCACATTGCTCAAGGTCTTTAAAGCAGTTCTAGTTCTGAGTGTTCTTTAGGATGATAAAAGCTTCTGTACCACATTATTGACGGCGGTCATGTCACACATGTGTTCGGCGAGGAGACTGCAGGCCTCTTCCTGACCCCAGTGAGCCGCCGCGTGGAACGCCGTCCAACCGTCACTGTCCCGACTGTCCACGTCTATCCCACACTTCAACAGCACCCTGAGGCAGAGGGTCACATGGATACCAAATGCTTGACATGCGTGATTATACAGAATAGCTTTTGAAAAATATATTTAATTGTTTCTTACGCCAATGAAAATACTTGTAAACGAAGCTAAAAAATAGGAGATATGTGCATCTTAGGCAATGTCCACACTAATACGTCTTCATTTAAAAATAACTTTTTCTCTCCGTCTTGGCTTTCCGTCCACTCTGAGATGACGTTTTAGGAAACAAAAACATATCTTTTAATTATTATTATTATTTTTCAGGGTTTTTTACCTTTAAAGCGCTCGCTTTAAATATAAGGTCTGTGACAATTACAATAATGAGACACAGGAGGTGCTGTCGCGCTTCACCCTAGTCTCTTTAACACTGCACGCGTCATGTCTATGTTTAGGAGCACATACACATGCGAACAAATGTTCTCTATAATGAAGCTGACCAAAACATCCCACAGATCCCGCCTCACAGACCACCAAATTATGTCTGTAATGAAAGTAGCCATGGCAAGAGACATTACACCTAGAATAGATGAGATTGTTTCTATGAAAAGATGCAGAGTGTCTGGTAAGTTAAAAATCCCTAATTTTTTTTAGGTTTGATATATAAGCCTAGCGCAAGTGTCCTTTGGAGCAAAATAATCTAAATAATACAATTTATTACACAGGCCACCATTTATCTATTATAGCCTACTAATAAATATATTGCTTTATTTTTCCCTCTTAAATGTACTGTTTAACAGTTTCCCTCCTACTGTACTGTTTTATGCTTATATTGGTTAGAGACCATATTTCATATTTTGATTGAGATAAAACTTGCTGTGACACAAATGTGGACCAAATTAAAATTAAACGTTAAACCTTACTATTTTGATAATGTGGTTTAATGAAGTGTTATGGAGATGTTAGAGTTGTTAATACACTATTATTTTCTCCAATAAATACATTTTAAAAATGTGTATGTACGGCCTCTGACTTAATTCACAACACTCATTGCGGCCCTTACCAAGTTTGGATTTGACACCCCCGGTGTAGTTTCACTTCTTAACGAACTGAGTCAATAGCTATGTTTCCATCCAAAAATGCAAACTAACTTTATGCGCAAAGCTTCTTAACGAACTGAGTCAATAGCTATGTTTCCATCCAAAAATGCGAACTAACTTTATGCGCAAAGCTTCTTCACGAACTGAGTCAATAGCTATGTTTCCATCCAAAAATGCGAACTAACTTTATGCGCAAAGCTTCTTAAGGAACTGAGTCAAAAGCTATGTTTCCATCCAAATATGCGAACTAACTTTATGCGCAAAGCTTCTTAACGAACTGAGTCAATAGCTATGTTTCCATCCAAAAATACAAACTAACTTTATGCGCAAAGCTTTTTAATGAACTGAGTCAATAGCTATGTTTCCATCCAAAAATGCGAACTAACTTTATGCGCAAAGCTTTTTAACGAACTGAGTCAATAGCTATGTTTCCATCCAAAAATACGAACTAACTTTATGCGCAAAGCTTCTTAATGAACAGAGTCAATAGCTATGTTTCCATTCAAAAATGCGAACTAACTTTATGCGCAAAGCTTCTTAACGAACTGAGTCAATAGCTATGTTTCCATCCAAAAATGCGAACTAACTTTATGCGCAAAGCTTTTTAACGAACTGAGTCAATAGCTATGTTTCCATCCAAAAATGCGAACTAACTTTATGCGCAAAGCTTCTTAACGAACTGAGTCAATAGCTATGTTTCCATCCAAAAATGCGAACTAACTTTATGCGCAAAGCTTCTTAAGGAACTGAGTCAAAAGCTATGTTTCCATCCAAATATGCGAACTAACTTTATGCGCAAAGCTTCTTAACGAACTGAGTCAATAGCTATGTTTCCATCCAAAAATACAAACTAACTTTATGCGCAAAGCTTTTTAATGAACTGAGTCAATAGCTATGTTTCCATCCAAAAATGCGAACTAACTTTATGCGTAAAGCTTCTTAACGAACTGAGTCAATAGCTATGTTTCCATCCAAAAATGCGAACTAACTTTATGCGCAAAGCTTCTTAACAAACTGAGTCAATAGCTATGTTTCCTTCCAAAAATGCGTGCGAACTAACTTTATGCGCAAAGCTTCTTAATGAACAGAGTCAATAGCTATGCTTCCATCCAAAAATGCGAACTAACTTTATGCGCAAAGCTTCTTAATGAACAGAGTCAATAGCTATGCTTCCATCCAAAAATGCGAACTAACTTTATGCGCAAAGCTTCTTAATGAACAGAGTCAATAGCTATGCTTCCATCCAAAAATGCGAACTAACTTTATGCGCAAAGGTATCGCATAAAAGACGTGCGAATAAAGCAGCATTTCATCCAACAAGTCAAAGCGATCAAAATCATCACTTCCTGGTCAACTGGTGCCAAATATCAACAGTTAAAACTGAATTTGCTGCAGTAGGAGAAGCTGCATCAATCTTCTTCATTTAAAAAAGGACTTGCGCCTCAGAGGGCAATCTTGACACGCAGTGAACCTGTGGTTGTGTTTGAAGGCATGAGACGCGGAGCACAGACGTTCTTGATTCTGTAGGTCATAAATAAATTATTACACTAAAACTGAAATGGTTTAGGCGTTTTAGAATGACCAAAACAGCACTTCAGATGTTTTACAGCCTGCTGGTTCATCCATTCACACACATTTTTATCATCACATGATCTCTCTTAACAAAATCACATGACCTTTTTAATGCGCATACTGGAATTTGTTTGGTAAAAGTGTTTCCAACGCAGTTTTTGCATATTTTTTCTTATCGAATAAAAAGTTTACCCTACTCACTTATGTGCATTTTTTTAAATTTATGCGCATCTTGCCGTTTCCGACAATTGTTTTTAATGTACATCCAAAATGCGCATAAAAACATAGGTGGATGGAAATACATTGATAAATTCGCAGGTGTTCCAAATTGTATATTAATCACACTCCAAACGGCAAAAAAAGGGCCTTCACAATTAAGAGTTCTGAAGGGTACAACTAATGGACACCCCATGATCCGTTGCACAAAGAAGTTCATTGGTATCGCACACTGCTTTACATTTGAAAGGGCTCAACCCTTATGCCCTAATCCCTGAGAAGATGTCACACCGGAGGGTAAACCCTTCAAAGGGACTAGGGCGTAGGGATTAGCCCATCTAAATGGAGCATTGTCAGTCATAAAGAATCAGTTGATTTGAACAAACTATTCGAATGAACGATTCAATGAATCACTGATTAATCCAGGGACTTGTCAAAACCTACTGGCAGTTTTACTGTCATATTTATTTATTCATTCATGACAGGCCAAAACTAACACAAAACACACTCCACAAATCTTTAAAATTTACGTTATTGAAAAAAAAAATTCATAAAAAAGTATCATTTATGAAATTATAAAAATTATATTCTCATTTACTGACAATCCACTTGATCAAATTTGTGAGAGTTTATCCTGTTGAACAAAAAAGACAACATTTTCAAAAATATTGGTATCTAAAAAGTTATCTAAAAACAAAACACTATGCAAGTCAATGGTGATCCTCAACTGGAAGTAGAACCAATCATTCTCTCTTCAACGCCTATCCGAGCAGCTCTTTTACTACATATTTTCTGTTTAGCATTCAGTGGCTGTTTCTCAATATGCGTTCTTCAGCGGTCTTGCGTCCTCGTGTTCTCGTGTTCTCGTGCAACGTCATCATCAGCTGCCCAAGTTCAGTTCCAATACTCAAGACCGCAAGTACGGAGGACGCGTGAAACTTCCCGGATGTGTTCTTGATATCGAGGACGCACTGATGCAGACTTGAGCACCGAACTCACTCTGGAAGTCCCAGAAGTCATTGCGACTGGAGGTGGGAAGCGCTGCATTTTATCTAGATTACTTATTAAAGTTTGGAGATATTACTTATTTACATCGGGAGTTTCCCTAAATGAAACGGTGAAAGTAAACATTACCATGAACATCTTAATAAAGGAATAAACACATTAAGGGTGTTTGTTTGCTGAAATTCGTATTAACATCTGTTTTATTCATATTGTGCAACAGAGATTTATAATGTTTTTATGCAAAATATATATTTTGAAAAGGGGAAAAACAATAAATCGTTGTATGAAGGCTGTAATGTTTAAATAATTTCCATTTAAAACACGTAAAGGTCACGTGACCATCAGGAAGAACGCAGCATCCCATTTCTCAAAGGACGCATTCTCTGCCCTCGCGGTCTCCTGAGTTCGTTCTTCTGAAGACACCTGGCAAGACCGGTCTCCAGAAGAACACAAGTCCGTTCTCTGCGTTCTTGGAATTGAGAAACAGCCAGTGTCTGGCACTTACTTTAACACCTCGATGTATCCTTTAGCAGCAGCGACGTGTAGCGCCGTGGCCTGTGTGTTGGGATGAGGAACCAGAGAACCACTTCCTGCCAACACGGTCATGGCATCCTGGAGCATCACCCGCTCCTCCTCTCTTCTGGCCTGATCCACATCAATACCTGAACATTCATTCAAAAACAACCACCATAGTGAATTATCAGACAGCGCAGGCCATTATTCAGATTCAGTGTATAACAGGAATATATCACTTATACTTCAATTCACATAGTTGCTGTAGTTTTTTTTTCTACTCTGACTCATTATTGAGTTAAGATGATTTTTGAATGAGAAAGCAGGAGGGCGGGGTTTGAGTTTGTCAGTGTGGATTTATTAGTGAATCTGGTGTGATTGACAGGCTGAGCCCACCCTTTTGCTAGTAAACACCAATCATAGAGGAGACATTGTTGATAAAGGAGAAAAATATATGTTTTGATTAAAGATGATAAATAACTACAATATTCATAAAAACACACAAAGACAAGTTTGACGCTGGTTTGAAAAAGCAAAACCAAAATGTTTGAAAAAGCTTTTAATAAGATTGAAGATGGATGGAATTTGGTATGGATTGGATTTAGGATGGATGGGATTTTGGCTGATTGAATGGATGGTTGGGATTTGAGATGAAGGGATGGATTGGAGTTGGAATGGATGAATAGGATTTGGGATGGATGGATGGATGGATGGATGGATGGATGGATGGATGGATGGGATTTGAAATTCATGGATGGATGGATGGATGGGATTTGAAATTCATGGATGGATGAATGGATGGATAGATTGACACTCATTATTGGATGGATTGATGGATTAATGGGATTGGATTGAAATGGATGGATGAAAAGGATTGGATTGGGATGGATGGATGGGATTGAATGGATGGATGTGTGGGTGGATGATTGGATTGGACTGGGATGGATAGATGAATAGGATTGGATTGAGGAATAGGATTGAATGGGAATGGATGAATGGGATAAGGATGGATTGAGTTCAATGGATGAATGTGATTGGATTGGATGAGCTTGATGGATTGGATGGATAGATGGATCGGATGGATGGATAATGGATAGATATATGGATAGATAGATGGATGGATGGATGGATGGATGGATGGATGGATGGATGGATGAATGGATGGGATTTAACATTTACTGATGGGTAGATGGATGGATGTTATTTGAGATGGATAGATGTGTGGATTGTTGGGATGAAGGGATGGATGAATTAGATTTGGGATAGATGGATGGATGGGATATGAGATATATGTATGAGTGGATGGATGAATGTATGGGATTTGGAATGGATGGATGGTTGAATGGATGGATGGATGGATGGATGAGATTTGACATTCACAGATAGGATGGATGGGTGGATGGGGCCAGAACGGAATTTGAGATGGATGGATGAATGTATGGGATTTTGGATGGATAGAAGGGATTTGAAATTCATTAATGGATGGATGGCTGGATGGATGGGATTTGACATTTTTTGGATGGATGGGATATTACATGTATTGATGGATGGAGGATGGATAAGATTCGGCATTTGTAGATGGATGGATGGATGGAATTTGACATTTATTGATGGCTGGATGAGATTTAAAATTCAATGATGGGTGGATGGATAGATGATATTTGACAAATACTGATGGATGGATGGGTGGAAGGGGCATTGTTATCTGTCATTAGTTTACTCTGGTTTACAGGTTGGTTAACAAACTACTAACATGAATGTTATTTTATTGTATTTTCAAATAATTATTATTAGATAAAAGTCTTAATGCAGCACAACACAATTACAGTCAGTGACTGAGTCAACACTAGAGATATGAATGTCAAATCCCAGTTACCTTACGCCCGTGATGCGGGTCAAAATACTATGTGTGTACAATAAACACACACTGTTAGTCACATTTTAGTTCCAGAATAACAAAGACACACAGCCAATCACATCTGACGAGCTGCAGGAGGTAGTTTATAAAGTCCTAATGAACTTGTTGATGTGGTAAACTTGCATGCTGTTACAGTTAAAACCTGTTAAATCCATCTTATAACACACACACACCTTTTTTGAGCTACAGTGTGTGTGTGTGTGTGTGTGTGTACTAATGTTTTAATGAGATTTCAGCAGATGAAGATCAAACAGATGGAGTGTTTAAGACAGATAATGCGAGCCTTAATTTGCTCGAGAAATCTCACAGTTTAAGTTTTCTAGCTATACATGTCTATTTAACTTAATTTCTATTTTAACAATAATCCTACAATGATATATGCTATTATACTGTATTTGAATTATTTTTTATTTTTTAAATAATTTATTTTATTTGTTTTTTTTATTTTAATTCTTAGTTTGAGTTTTAGTAATTAATTTTGACAATATTATTATTATTACTAATATAATAATAATAATAATTATTATTATTATTATTATAATTATTATTATTATTATTATTATTATTATTATTATAATTATTATTATTATTATTATTATTATTATTATTATTTAACATTTCTCCCTAACTTTCATTTATTTCTAGATTTAATCATTTTTAAATCAGTGTTTAAATATTTAATGTAAGAAATGTCTACAATCTGACACTCTTCTTTCACTCCTCCTTCATTTTTTTCTCTGTCTGCAGGGTTCGATTGGCTCACCCTGCTTTTTAACCTCAGCCTTCAGCAGTCGGTTCATTGCATCCTCCGTGGCCACGTCCAGAGGAAGCTCTCCTTCGCTGTTCACTGCTCCGACATGAGCGCCATGTTCGATCAGGTACCTTCAGAGCAAACGGCACAAGGTGTCAACAAAAAAAATTTGTAAAAAAAAAAAATGACAAACTTTGCTTTTATTCTAGCCGAAATAAAACAAATAAGACTTTCTCCAGAAGAAAAAATATTATAGGAAATACTGTGAAAAATTCCTGAATCTGTTAAACATCATTTGGGAGATATTTAAAAAGAAAACTTCAACTGTATATATAAATGGGAAATTGTCAATGTTATTTATCTATTTTTGTCAATAAAGTCTGAATGTTGTGAGTTACTCACTTTGTGATTTGGATGAATCCACAGGAGGCGGCGGCGTGGAGCGGCGTCCAGCCCTCATTGTCTCCTCGGTTCACTTCACTGCCGTTCTCCACCAAAAACTGGACCATTTCTGCGTTCTCATCGATACAGGCCTAAGGACACAGAGAGAAACAGGCAGAGTTAAAAAAAATTACAGCAAATATAGGTCTCATATAGACCAATTACCATGTTTGTAAACATTCAGGATGCGTGCGCAGGGAGGTGGCAGAAAGCAACTGGGAGCCCCAGCATTTACAGCAAGGGAATAACATCAGATGCGGTGCAGAGTTTGTTGTTGTCTTAGAAATAAGATATATTACTTACCTATTATATATATTATTAACATAATGCTCACAGCATATTATAACAGCTCGTCACCCAGTGATAAGCACAGTGATTCAGCAAAATTACCGTTAAAGTGAGCGGCTTTCATCTGACAGCTCCATTTGCGATAGCACCCTCCCAATGAATATTGGATAAGACGAAATGACCAAGCATCCAGCCTGAAATATACAATCTCAATGAAGCTCCGAGTGATTTTACAAGAGAGAAGTTAAAGGTCTACAAGTCTTTAGATGCCAACAATTTTGTTCTTTGAAGTCATGTGCAATAAATATTGCTCCATGATGACCAGATTCAAAACTATGTAGAGCTAAACACTGAGATTCCACCTAGCCACAGACAAGGAAACAAGACGGAGCTAATGTTATACAAGCCCTGGGTAATTAATCACCGACACGCAAAACGACTGCATTCTGACAGTGAACTTCACCTGTACGGCGGGGTATGTGAACCTACACATAGAGGTAAAATTGGTTTTATATTCGCACATTCAGACTTTCTCCTTAATAATATAATTTCATAAAAATATCATTTGCAAACTCTAAATAGCGAAATCATATTAGTAGCAGCCAATGACTATCAAAGTACAACATTGATCACAGTCAAATAAACAGTGCTAATGTTGTTTTCAAGTCACACTTGCAGGTTATTTCAGACCGAATATTCAAAGTGCCGTGGTAAACAATATAGGGAGTTTGTCACAAGTTGTCACTGAATGAATGTGTGAATATAAAACCAAGTTTACCTTAATAAACGTAACTTTCACGTTTCATTCTTAGCATTCAGTGTCCGCAGTTTAATTCACCACATGTAACTGTTTTTGCTAAAATCATTTCTGCAATCAAAAACGAGTGATGTGTCTGATACAGCATAGCGTGAACTGACCTGATATGACATAACAACTGCAGAGTCCAGCATTTCTAAATAGCTCCTCACTTCACTCAGCTCCCATTTAGCCAAATACGTCTGCAGTCGGTATTAAAGCAGTGTGTGGTAAAGTTTAAGTTAAAGTTAAGTTTTCTATTTTTGGACTTGAATTCGCCATCCTACCGCAAAACACGACATCTTTCCCATTGCAGCCTGTCTGTTTTTTGCAACCGGGGACCCGTGTGACGTCATATGTGACGTAGGTTGGTAATTGGTCTATAGACATTTTGGCCAAAAATTACACCCCTAACTATAGTTATATGTAGTGAAAACAAACGTGAACAAAGTTGATTTTACAGATTTTTGTCTTTGTGGCTTGTGAGCTTCGTTCATTACAGTCGAACCAATGAAGTCACATGACAATGTTTTGGACTTTGAACATCACCACTGCTATAGATGGTCAGAGAGCTCTCAGATTTCATCTAAAATCTCTTCATTTGAGTTTGGAAGATGAGTGCTAAAAAAATAGCAGATTTTTATGTGAGGTGCTAAAAAATTCCAGCTATTTAAATAACATGCAAATTCAGTCACCTTGTGTTTTTTTTATGAACAGAAGCTATACTTTACTATATTTGCCACTTTTTAGGTTTGTCCACACCAGGACGCTTTTCGTTTGCGCTTACCATCAGCGTTTAGAGACGTTTTTCCGTATTCAAACCCAAGTGATTTTCACTGCCATCGAGCATAAAAGTATGCAAAATTACTCCTTGACATTAGATGGCGCTATACAACTTTAAGCTTCAAAATGGCAAAATGGCTTCAAATGGCTGTGCAGATAGTATCTAGTGCTGTCTTGAGTATTTCCAGGACGTGTCACCGAAATCTGTCTGTTTTGCCTTGGAAAAAATGTCCAGAGTAAACTGCCATAATGAAAACATGACAAAGACATTTGACTATCTTGTTCATAAACAATGGTGTCAGGACTTTTCATCTTAATGACACTGACTCTTTCATTGACATCAGTACATGCTCTTGCTCTTTACTATATTTGCCACTTTTTAGGTTTGTCCGCACCAGGACGCTTTTCGTTTGCGTTTACCATCAGCGTTTATCGAGATGTTTTTCCGTATTCAAACCCAAGTGATTTTCACTGCCATCGAGCAGAAAAGTATGCAAAATTACTCCTTGACATTAGATGGCGCTATACAACTTTAAGCTTCAGACACCCACTTGTAACACAGAAGAAAAAGACAAAAAGTTTGAAATGCTTATTGTTAAAGTTAATGGCGATTTGAACAAGCATGGATGGTTCAAGCAGCAGCTCCAGCTCTAGTAATAAAGAAATGATTATTGTTCACCAGAGCAATAAGCAGCTCTTATTATCGTCTCTGGGCATCTTCTTCAGTGTGCGCTCACAATGACTGTTTTGCGCTTGTGCGCCCCCAAGTGCTGTTTACTGTAACTTCAGCAGCTCCGTGCATGTGATCAAAAGTGCCAATCTGATTGGTGGAGAAGGTTTTAACGTGATGCGTCAAAACAAAAAAAAAAAAACATGAGGCGTTTCTAAAAACAAAAATGACGGTTTTACGCCTGGCATTTGCAAGTTGGTGTGCACGATCACACTTTATTTAGTCACAAGGCGTTAAACATCGACGAAAAACGCAAGCAAAAAGCGTGCACAGGCCTTTAGTGTAACTTTTAATGCCAACTCTCAAATTGTTATCAATAAATACAATTTATGATCGCACCAAATGAGAAAGTAGAGATTTCTTTTCCTTTTTCATAAGATATATTCTTCCTGTTTTATAATATTTACAACAGATCCCGAAAAAGTCCTGTCCAGCGTGACGCTATTCTTTCTCTCCAATCTGAACTTCATATTACAGTTTTTCTCAGTGGCTTTGGTGCATTTCTCTCAACACTATTTACATTTGCACAACAGTTAATGCATTTCTCAAAACAGTTAGTCATTTGTGCACATCATAGTAGCAGTTTCTCATTCCTTCCAACAAATTGCAAATGCTTTTGGAGATGCATCAATTGCTTTCATACAACTCTCTGCTGTTTTATAACATTGTCATCTGCTTATGTCATGTCAGTCAACATGAAATAAACTTGTGAATGCTGAATAGTCAGTCCATATAAAACCAATAGTCCTTATTTCATTACTGGAGTCACCACATACAAAAATGTTGAACTGGATGTCAAAATCTGTCAAGCTAATTTTATAATTTACTAAATTTACTAATTTTCTAAATTGAACAATTTGGTGAATGATTTACAGACCTGTGTATGTTGTAGGTTCAGGTCCAATATGTGCTGCAATGTTGTTCACAGTTGTGCACAGCTCTACTCAAAGGGAGTTTCTATTTGTTGTAAATAAGTGTGTTTATTCGTTTGCACAATGCTGTGAGTTAACTAGAATTGTAAAGAGCAAATGCAGTAAACATGTGAAACATACATATTCAGTGTCTTGTACTCAGATACCTCAGTAAATGCAGTGATGTCTGACTTTACTGTAGTTTTCAAATGGCTGTGCAGATGGTATATAGTGCTGTCTTGAGCATTTTCAGGACGTGTCACCAAAATCTGTCTGTTTTGCCTTGGAAAAAATGTCCAGAGTAAACTGTCATAATGAAAACATGACAAAGACATTTAACTATCTTGTTCATAAACAATGGTGTCAGGACTTTTCATCTTGATGACACTGACCCTTTCATTGACATCAGTACTTGCTCTTGAGGAATGAGCTCTCCATTTTGAGCATGTGACATGCTTTTGCAGGTTATCATCTAGGTTTTGCAGTTTAACTGTTTTGAGAAATGCATTAACTGTTGTGCAAATGTAAATAGTGTAGTGAGAAATGCCCCAAAGCCACTGAAAAAAAACCTTAAGAACAAAGTTAACTCCTAAAACACCTTAAACTCATTTATGTGAATGTGTTAATGAACAGTATCTCATTTAACTGCATTTTGCAACTCAAAGAGGGTATTTTCAACTGCAAGGAGCACCGTAATCCAAAAAAAGATACCGACTTCTCCCAGAAAAGGCAAACATGTTGATAAGAAGATGAGACCAAGATGAGAGTCATTTTCCTTCAAACCATTCTTTTACAGGAAAAAATATTTATTTGTTTTACCATTATTGGATTTGTTGTATTTTATATTAAAAATGCAATAGTAAAAAAAGTTAATTCTGTTTATGTTTTTATTAAAAAAAAAATTTATTAAAAGTTCGAGGTCCTTTGCTGATCCTTCCTCTATCTCTGCTTCCCACACTTTCCTGTCTCTATATCTCCACTGTCCTATCAATAAAGGTGAAAAACCCCTAAAAATAATTATTAAAAAAAACACAAAAAAGTATTGATAAGAAAATCATTAAAGTACCGAACCGATAAGCAGTATCTATAAACGTATTAATACCATTAAAAACCCTAACGATACCCATCCCTAGTATGAACCCTGAATTAATCCTATCAAATCATTGATACGTTTTAACGATATTCGTTAAATATACGTTTTTACATGATTCTAATATTAACACGTATATTCTAGAAAAATTACAAAGTCTTCTGAGCTCAAATTCATGTAAATCTGTTTTAGAGACTCAAACTGAATATTAGAACCCTTTAAAATGTCATACAAACGGCTCTTTAATGCAGACGGGCCACATGTTACAGTGATTTCAGCACTGATAAAGTGTGTTTTCAGGCGGTTTGGGGGGGAAAAAAGGGACTCCCAGAGGAGCTGCAGGAGAACAGAAGGACACATTCATCACTCACTCTCATTGTGAGGAACAGCGGGACCCGTCTGTGTGGAGAAGGTGTGAAGTTCTCCATCGGGTCAGAGTGTGTGTTTGTGTGTGTGTGTGTGTGTGTGTGTGTGTGTGTGTGTGTGTGTGTGTG